TGACAGATCGTATGACAATACAACAAGGGGAGATAACTCCTTGATTAACTCATATCTTCAAATTAAATATGACACAGACGTCTTAATGTAATACGCATATCAAATAGAATAGATGTGATACTCAGTATCACATAAACATACGGGATGCAAAATAGCATAGTTCCTACCCGGTGTATGGCACTAGGGTGCACACGACGTTCACCAAGCTCCGCCAAGCCAGATATATCAAGCGTACCTAAAATCCGTGTAAACAATATGCAACATTAATTCTACAGTAACTACAAATCAACATAGCTATTATCATTACCAACACCTGGAACACATCAAAACAACTTAGGCTAAAATCACATTCGTACTTACATTCACATATACACTATTCTTCCTCTCATATATGAAATCAGTAAATCAAACACTCAAACATGCCACAATTCACTCATAGGGAAAATATTATTACCTGAATGAATTATATGAGTTATTTGATAGTTATTTGTATTGATTCTATACTCTGAAATGCACTAGAACCTGACTGAAGTGTTATTAACATTTAGGTTAGATTTACCATTATAAAGGTTGAATTTACTTGTTTTATTTATATCCACACAATACAAATATAACATATAAAGTGTACACACTCAATTCAATTCGGTTTATTTTCGTAAGTGTAGGCCATCGGCCCATAGTTACATTTGTATTACAATGGACGTGATGTACACAGCTGTTATTGTTGTGACAATAATGTACTACGAAGTGACATCGCTTGATAGATATAGATAGCTAGACGTTCAATTAATTTACAATCAGTTGTAGACATAATGATATTAAATTTTTGTATGGTCGGATATTCATAAAATGTCTGTGGTAAGTGATCCATGCGTATCTTGTTATAACCGGAGCAAACTAACAAAAAATGAAACTCGTCCTCCACATACCCAGCATTACAAACACAACATAGTCTTCTGTTACGTGGGATATCAGCATATCTCCCAGTTTCAACACACAGCTGATGCGAAAAACATCTAAACCGAGCTAGTGCCACTCTCAATTTACTGACGGTCATACAGCTAAGATACAACTCTGTACCAAACGATACCTTGAATAGAGAATACGAGAAAGATTTACTACCCTTTTCCAGAAGACTATGCCAATCCTGTTCATAACTACATTTCAGACGCGACATAAATTCTGTCAAAAACGAATGAGGATGACTTATACACTGGTTTTCCCATACAGAGCCAAAACCCAAACGGAACAATAAAAATTTACATTTTGATACCCAATTAATTTTACCATTACTTTCTGCCTGAAGCATCATATAATAACATTTCTTTGGAAAGCGACAATCGGACATACTTAATAACCTTATCCAATAGCCAATAACTCTTTTGTATGCATAAATATATAATGGATACCGCCCACATTCACCTCGAACCATGTTGTTGGGTGTTGACGATTTGACACCTAGAAAGCGCTTGCATGCCAATGTATGTATAGTTTCCATTTCATCATTCTGGTGTAGACCCCAGACTTCGGAACCATAGAGCAAAATTGGGACTATTTTCATATCAAATATTTTAAAATATAAGTCATATCGAAGAGGATGTATTTTTATCAATGACTTTAAAATTCCAAACATTGCTTTTTTCCCCTGTAGACCAGCATTAGAAAAATGACTTGACCAGGACAGGCTTCTCGTAAAAGTAACGCCCAAATATTTATAGGAGGACACACACTCCAACTTAAGACCTTTATAGTACCAAATCTCTTTTCTTGACAACACTCCGCCTTTCTTAAAAACAACCACCTTGGTTTTATCCAAATTGACATCTAGATCATAATCATTACAATATTTTTCTAGAACATCAATACGCTTCTGAAGTCCACCTATAGTATCTGCGATTAAAATAATATCGTCTGCAAATAATAACAGGAATATCTCTATAATATCAGGATGAAGTTGTATTCCTGGTCCAGAATTCTGTTCAACTTCAGCAGCTAGTTCGTTAATAAACATCGAGAATAAAAGGGGGCTTAACACACAACCCTGACGTACTCCTCTTGGGCACTGAAACATTTCAGAAAATGTATGTTTAAATTTAACACTGGCCTTAACAGCTGTATAAATAGACCGTATAGCTTTTATCATTTTGCCAGCGACACCTTTATTAGCTAGTACTGACCATAATTTCATCCGGTTTACACTGTCGAAGGCTTTTGCAAAATCGACAAACAAACCATATACCCTACCCTTACGCTTACTAATATATCTCTGGATAATACACTGTAATATAAAGATATTATCTATGGTGGAGTAATCATGACGAAAACCAGCCTGGGACTCTGCAATTTTACCATAGACCTCACACCAAGACGTGACCCTTCTGTTCAAAATAGAAACATACAACTTACTCAGTGCACTAAGGACTGATATACCCCTATAGTTGGATGGGGAATGGATGTCTCCTCGCTTATGTATCGGAACAATAATTCCCAAAGACCAAGATTCAGGAAAGTATGCATTATCAAACAAATTATTAAACAACACTGAAAGATACGGGACAAAAATATCATTCGCATATTTAAAAAATTCTGAAATGAGGTGGTCATTTCCTCCGGATTTATCAGTTTTCAAAGAGTTGATTGCACAAAGCACCTCCTCTTGTGAAATGGGGGAGTCCAGAATATAGCAACTCATATCATCATGACTATCATTAATAGTCGTGTCGGTGTTAACCATATCTTCAGCTCTCGGATTGTCAAACACATCTTTAAAATGATCGACCCATTGTTCTAGTGATATGTTAGGTACACGAGTTGCCGCACTCTGAGATAATCCTCTTATGGTAGACCAGAAACATTTACTATTTGGAAGACTAGATAAAACCTTATTACGCATATATTCATTATAACTTTTCTTTTTATCACGTAATAAACTTGTATAAGTATTTCTTGATTTTAAATAACTAACTAAGGTGCTATCACTTTTAAGATGTCTATATATTCTGAGACACCTCTCTCTCTCCCACCTGTAGTACCGACACACGCTATCAAACCAGGGTTGTGTGTGACTGTCGCGAGACTTACAAGTCCTTTTCATGCACTGAGCAGCTGTACAAATGGCGTCCGTGAATGAGTTAATAGCACCATCGATATTATCTGGTAGTAACAGAGTACATTGTTCAAAACAATCAACCACATGTGGCTGTACAAGATTATCCCTGAACTGTTGTAGTTTCGCCATGTCCCACACATAGTGGTAGTTTTCACGAGGTGCACGTGCGGCCCCTGCTGTCACAACGGGAATCTCCAGGTCACGTGCTTGAAATGAACAAGATAGTGGAAGGTGTGAGGATTCTGCCCTGGACACAATATCAAATGTATAACAGTGGAAGAATAGACTGTTGGATACAATAATGTAGTCAATTACACTGGAGCCTGAGTGACCGATGTAAGTATAATCACCTATACCTAAATCCGTACCACAGCGACCATTTAGAATAGACATATCGAGAGCGGCACACATATTGACAAGATGTTTTGCGGCATTGTTTATAATGTTATCACATGACACTCTATCTATGTTGATACTATCGGACATAACTGACATATTCTCGTCACCTAAAACCTCGGCGATATCATCATCAATATGATCAGACAGTGTCCCAGTCCGGGCGTTGAAATCCCCGCCTATGAGGATGTGTATATCTCTGTTTAGTGACCCAATAACTTCTATAATAATTTTATTGAGTTGAAGAATAAAGTCAAACCACACTTAGTTTGTCTGTTATTAAACCAACTTGATCCTGGAGGGTTGACATATACACAGCAAATAAGAATGTCTTTCTCAAGATTAAATGCACTTTTATCGAAAAGTAAAAATATAGCATTATCTGCAATTCTGGACCATTTCACATAGACACTGATGGATTTTTTCACAATCACGGTTAAACCTCCCGAGAATCGTCCTCTGTCTGCTGTTTTAATTGCATTTAGGCTGTAGGCTGTAAAGTTGTGGAATATCTGGTCATAAGGAAAGTCAATTGTCCATGTCTCTATTAATCCAACAAGATCTGCATTAGATAAAAAGTTTATAAAGTTTACGTCGGAAACTTTATTTACCAAACCAGATATATTCCAGAAGAGAAGCTTAGTAGATAATACTTGTTTTGGACATCGACGAGAATTTGCTTGGACTGGACCACACCCCTATTTGCCAGCACTGGCCGTGTTATGACCACCTTGCTCAGCATCATCAGATCTCTCACCACTGTATGCAGCATATGCTGCGTCTTGGTTGGAGTCAGTAACAATAAGTACGCCATTCTTGAAGTATCCTCGTTTGTTTTGTACACGTAGTTCTTGTAGCTTATTCCGTTGTCTCTGTGTGAGATCGCTGGCGATTCCATACCCTGAACTTTTGATGTCACTACGTCGACTAAGGGAACGTATTTTCCAGTCAATAGTGAGGAATTCGATAATAATTGGCCTTGGCCGCTTTGAATGTGAAGAACGATGCCCAAGTCTGTGAGCTTCGGCAATGTCATGTTATGTTATGTGTACACACTCATAAACCAATGTAAGAGATTAAACTAACCTGTGAGGTATTTGCATTTGTTTATGACTCCATGGTATTACAATCCTGATGGTGCAAAGAGTGACTGTGAAGTGCAGCTTTGAATTAGGAAAGAGGGCAAGAGTTTGAATGATCCAATCGGTGTTCATTAAATCAGGCCACGTAATAATGTGGTAGCCCTACCTATCTACCCTTAATCATATTAGAATGAAACTAACTAAAGAGCTAATAATAGACTCAACCTTCTGTGTCCTTATAATTATAGCCTGTATCAAAATTGACCAAACCTGTTGTTAGAAAAAATACATTCATTAGTTAAAATCGGAAATAATACACCTGCAATTCATAATGCAATTGTCATTATACAAATATCAATGCAACACTTAAATGACTTAAAACTAATATTTACATAACTATATAATACAATAATATGTATCTGCCACACTTGTACAGCGGCTCGGACAGTAACTTGTACAGTGGCTCGGACAGTAATTTGTACCGTGGCTCGGACAGTAACTTGAACAGTGGCTCGGACAGTAACTTGGACAGCGGCTCGGACAGTAACTTGGACAGCGGCTCGGACAGTAACTTGGACAGTAACTTGGACAGCGGCTCGGACAGTAACTTGGACAGCAGCTCGGACAGTAACTTGGACAGTGGCTCGGACATTAATTTGTATCGTGGCTTGAACAGTAACTTGAACAGCGGCTTGGACAGTAATTTGTACCGTGGCTCGGACAGTAACTTGAACAGCGGCTCGGACAGTTACTTGGACAGCGGCTCGGACAGTAACTTGGACAGCGGCTCTGACAGTAACTTGGACAGTGGCTCTGACAGTTACTTGGACATTTGCTCTGACAGTAACTTGTACCGTGGCTCTGACAGTAATTTGTACCGTGTCTCGGAAAGTAACTTGTACACTGGCTCGGACAGTAACTTGGACAGTGGCTCGGATAGTAACTTGTACAGCGGCTCTGACAGTAACTTGTACAGTGGCTCGGACAGTAACTTGTACAGTGCCTCGGACAGTAACTTGGACAGTGGCTCTGACAGTAACTTGGACAGTGGCTCGGATAGTAACTTGGACAGTGGCTCGGATAGTAACTTGGACAGTAGCTCTGACAGTAACTTGTACAGTGGCTCTGACAGTAACTTGCACAGTGGCTCTGGCAGTAACTTGGACAGTGGCTCGGAAAGTAACTTGTACAGTGGCTCTGACAGTAACTTGTACAGTGGCTCGGACAGTAACTTGTACCGTGGCTCTGACAGTAACTTGTACAGTGGCTCTGACAGTAACTTGGACAGTGGCTCGGACAGTAACTTGGACAGTGGCTCGGACAGTAATTTGTACCGTGGCTCGGACAGTAACTTGAACAGCGGCTCGGACAGTAACTTGGACAGCGGCTCGGACAGTAACTTGGACAGCAGCTCGGACAGTAACTTGGACAGTGGCTCGGACATTAATTTGTATCGTGGCTCGGACAGTAACTTGAACAGCGGCTTGGACAGTAATTTGTACCGTGGCTCGGACAGTAACTTGAACAGCGGCTCGGACAGTAACTTGGACAGCGGCTCGGACAGTAACTTGGACAGTGGCTCTGACAGTTACTTGGACATTTGCTCTGACAGTAACTTGTACCGTGGCTCTGACAGTAATTTGTACCGTGTCTCGGAAAGTAACTTGTACACTGGCTCGGACAGTAACTTGGACAGTGGCTCGGATAGTAACTTGTACAGCGGCTCTGACAGTAACTTGTACAGTGGCTCGGACAGTAACTTGGACAGTGCCTCGGACAGTAACTTGGACAGTGGCTCTGACAGTAACTTGGACAGTGGCTCGGATAGTAACTTGGACAGTGGCTCGGATAGTAACTTGGACAGTGGCTCTGACAGTAACTTGTACAGTGGCTCTGACAGTAACTTGCACAGTGGCTCTGACAGTAACTTGGACAGTGGCTCGGAAAGTAACTTGTACAGTGGCTCTGACAGTAACTTGTACAGTGGCTCGGACAGTAACTTGTACCGTGGCTCTGACAGTAACTTGTACAGTGGCTCTGATAGTAACTTGTACAGTGGCTCTGACAGTAACTTGGACAGTGTCTCGGACAGTAACTTGGACAGTGGCTCGGACAGTAATTTGTACCGTGGCTCGGACAGTAACTTGAACAGCGGCTCGGACAGTAACTTGGACAGCGGCTCGGACAGTAACTTGGACAGCGGCTCTGACAGTAACTTGGACAGTGGCTCGGATAGTAACTTGGACAGTGGCTCGGAAAGTAACTTGTACAGTGGCTCTGACAGTAACTTGTACAGTGGCTCTGACAGTAACTTGTACAGTGGCTCGGACAGTAACTTGTACAGTGGCTCTGACAGTAACTTGTACAGTGGCTCTGACAGTAACTTGTACAGTGGCTCTGACAGTAACTTGGACAGTGGCTCGGATAGTAACTTGGGCAGTGGCTCGGACAGTAACTTATACAGTGTCTCGGACAGTAACTTGTACCGTGGCTCGGACAGTAACTTGGACAGTGGCTCTGACAGTAACTTGGACAGCGGCTCTGACAGTAACTTGGGCAGTGGCTCTGACAGTAACTTGTACAGTGGCTCTCACAGTAACTTGGACAGTGGCTCGGACAGTAACTTGTACAGCGGCTCGGATAGTAACTTGTACACTGGCTCTGACAGTAACTTGTACAGCGGCCCTGACAGTAACTTGGACAGTGGCTCTGACAGTAACTTGTACAGTGGCTCGGACAGTAACTTGGACAGTGGCTCGGACAGTAATTTGTACCGTGGCTCGGACAGTAACTTGAACAGCGGCTCGGACAGTAACTTGGACAGCGGCTCTGACAGTAACTTGGACAGTGGCTCTGACAGTAACTTGGACAGTGGCTCGGATAGTAACTTGGACAGTGGCTCGGAAAGTAACTTGTACAGTGGCTCTGACAGTAACTTGTACAGTGGCTCGGACAGTAACTTGGACAGTGGCTCGGACAGTAATTTGTACCGTGGCTCGGACAGTAACTTGAACAGCGGCTCGGACAGTAACTTGGACAGCGGCTCGGACAGTAACTTGGACAGCGGCTCTGACAGTAACTTGGACAGTGGCTCGGATAGTAACTTGTACAGTGGCTCTGACAGTAACTTGTACAGTGGCTCGGACAGTAACTTGTACAGTGGCTCTGACAGTAACTTGTACAGTGGCTCTGATAGTAACTTGGACAGTGGCTCGGATTGTAACTTGGACAGTGGCTCGGACAGTAACTTATACAGTGTCTCGGACAGTAACTTGTACCGTGGCTCGGACAGTAACTTGGACAGTGGCTCTGACAGTAACTTGTACAGCAGCTCGCACAGTTACTTGGTCAGTGTCTCAGACAGTAACTTGTAAAATGGCTCTGACAGTAGCTTGGACAGAGGTTCGGACAGTAACTTGTACAGAGGCTCCGACAGTAACTTGGATAGTGGCTCGGACAGGTTGAAAAGCGATATGTTCTCTATTCCCATAACACAATTTTCTTAGAATCTTACACTCTCTTAGAAACATGTCTTACTTCTTTCTAATCTTAAAACTCTCTGCAATACTTTGTATTGCCCCGTGGGAACAGTAGTCCAGTTCTACCATGGCGTGTCAACTTAATGTGGGAGGAAAGCCCAAAGCGAAAGTTCGTAGATGTTTACTACTTCCGTGAAACCCACGGGCTTGGGTATGGCGCTGTCAAACCATGATGTATAATCAGGGCGAATCCACATCAAGGAGAGCGGCATGCAGATTAATATAGACGCTACAGTATTTCTGGATACCCTGTACGCATTTAGGTGCAGGTAAAGTGTAAAGCGTTTATTGCTGGAACGGAGTGAAGAAATACCCTATATTCAAGTTTTGTCTAAGTATAGGAGGTAATGTTTTATCTATTTCAGACGGTGCTGAAGGAATACTATGGAATGACAGTCCTCGTAATCTCAGCTGACGCCATAGTATCAATCTTCGTCTCCATAGTCTCCGACACATGATGCCAACACGACTGTTTGCAAAATGCAAATTTACACTCAAACATATTTTCATATATATGATTGTATTTTGTGTAACGTTTATTATATATTGCATAACAAGCACAACGGTATTAAACGTCAGGAAGCCCTTACTTAAATTTCATCCACGAGAATTTTCAAACTCCTCCCACAAAACCATACTCCTTTGGACGTCTTTTTTCGGGTCGTCGAGTTGGAATGTGAACTTTAAATTACCTAAATGTAAAAGATATTCCCCAAAAACATGTGAATTGACTTCAGATCGATCTCGTCTTGAGACAAGCGAAGCTGTTCTGTTTCATTTAGGCAACATAGTCACAATCCCTTCGGAAAGACTAACGCAACAAATCTGGGTACTTTTTAATATGGAGCCACTTCCAAAAATTCGCCGAGATCTTAAGCAGTACAATGGTGTTTTCAACTGGACCAGCTGGTACCGGAGACAGTCAACAGTGCCTATGTATTATGGATGGGTTGAAACGAAACTTGACAAAAGTGGGGCAGTACTCAAAGACATATTCGCGGAGAAAACCAAAATGGTATTCTGGGCAGCGAGCAATTGCGAAGACGATGCCCACCGATATAGAACTGTGAAAGAGTTGCAGAGATATATAGACGTAGACACGTACGGGGAATGTGGTGATATACAATGTAGCAGATGGGACAAAACGTGCAATGAAAAGTTAAAAAAATATAAATTTGTCCTTTCTTTTGAGAACTCTCACTGTAAGGATTATGTGACTGAGAAATACTGGCTGGCGTTGCAGAGAGAACAAATCCCCATTGTTCATGGTGGAGCTGATTACAAAGCGTTGGTGCCCCCACGATCTTTCATTAATGTCAGAGACTTCCCCAGCATCTCAGCACTAGCGACATATATCATTACAGTAGCTCAGAACAGGACTTTATATAACAGCTATTTTGATTGGATGAGATACTATCACCTCCCACCATGCCTGGAAACCATGAACTGTTTTGACTTAGAGAATTATTTTTGTTCGCTGTGCGGAGCTCTGCACGACCGGGGTATACCTGGCCAAACGTATACCAATCTGTATAAGTGGGCGACGGATGACCTCCCGCAGTGCAAAGAATATACGGTAAGTGGTATTCAAGTCAAACGTCGATGCACTTTGGATAGTAATATTCGCATCTCTGTCAAAGGAACAGGGTTCCAAAAATGGAAACGATATTTGCACGATACTTTACTATCTGGGGAATAACGTAAAATCACAGTGACGACACCCGGTTTTTGGTAAACGGCTGAGACAGTCCAGACATATCAAAAGATAAAGTCCCTTTAGATACTGCCACTGATCCCCGGTACCTCTTGCTTGTCTCCCTGTAGGAATCACTATCAAATTGTAATGACACCAGATGTTCGCGAAAAGGTAGACGTATCCTGCTTTTAGATGTAGTATTGCTAACTTGAGTTATTTTCAAATGAAATCAAACGCTTGATGAAATCAAATGAGAGGTGAGGTTTCTTTCGGATTATGGGGCACGGGTGGTCCAGTCGTTTAAGGCGATTCGCTGTGCAGGCCAGAAACCTATGATAGTGGGTTCGAATCCCGGTTCGCTCCGATTATGTTTCTAGGTTTGTCAGCACCATACCCGTGCTCGTGGGTTTCACCGAAGTGGTAAACGTTTGAGACCTGCATCACTTGGGGCTTTCCTCCCACATTAAGCTGACACGCCGTGATATAACTGGAATATTGTTAACAGCGGCGTTAAATCCAACTCACTCACTCACTATTTGAGAGCGGACTAAGCGTCAGTACGGTTCAATTTTCAGATATTTTCAATTTAAAATAATTCTTTCTGATTCTGGGTAATCCTTGACACGGGGATGTGGTGGCACCCATCAGTTATCTCTCTTTGTAAGGAGGTTTTGGGAGTTTGGGAATCCAGGGCGAGGAAGAATGGACATGTCTTCAGGTTTTAGCGTCAAGCCAAAAGTTTATAGCGCTGATGCATGGTTTGGGTAGATTACGTTTTTATTTAACATACAAGCATTATGTGTGGCATTATGTGATACTAGTATGTCACTTATACCAAGGTCTTTGATGCTAATGTAGTGATGCTTACATATGATGAATGTCTTATTTGAAGTCTTGTCAGTTGGAACACTACACACTTTTCATGTAGGGTTGCCAAACTGGATGACAGATGGATTGGACAGAATGGGTTTATTTTAATTCTGTTTCCAATTTTTGTCTTCTTTAGGTATCCTGCCAATGCCAACATCACACACTGACTTTACCCACTACGAAAAACACCAAAAGTTCCTATTCTCTTGTAGACAATTTTTGGCAGATGTTTCGACAGCATCTATAATGATTAGAAAGTTGTGGTTCCAAGTGGGTGAAGATTGTCAAGATATGTTGGTCCATATTTGAATAACTGACAACAATAGAGAAGTCCTCTGTAATTATATGACCGACAGGTTGATAGCAGTGTGATGAGTCTTGGCAGCCAAGAATGTACATCATGAGCTGTCAATCAACGTTCTGCAACACGTTCCTATAATTAAACACCTTGGATGAAATAGTGTTCGGATAGAACAATGAAACGAGGATTTCCGTCTGAGAACAGGTCCCAAGTACCAGAGTGAGAATGGTTCTACGCCGCTTTAGCAATATTCCAGCAATAATACGGCAGAGTACACCAGAGATGAGCTTTACACATTGTACCCATGTCGGGAACCGAACCCGGGTCTTCAGCATGACGAGCGAACGCTTTAACCATTAGGCTATCCCACCCTCCCCCGAGTTTGTTTGTTGTTTAACGCCGCACTCAGCAATACTCAAACTATACGACGGCGGTCTGTAAATAATCGAGTATGGACCAGACATTCCAGTGACTGACATCATGAGCATCGATCTACGCAATGGGATACGAACACATGCATCAGCCAAATCAGCGAGCTTGACCACCTGATCCCGTTAGTTGCCTCTTGCGACAAGCATAGTTACCTCTTACGGCAAGCATGGGTTGCTGTAGGCCTATTCTACCCCGGATCGTCACGGGTAGCCCCCCAAAAACCAGAGGACCGACTAAAATGTAGTGCTGTGATCGCCATCTGTAGCGCGGGGGATTTGTGTCATCGCACATCGACGGCCAGGAATATTGGTCATTGTATATCAATCACTGGTTTGTCTGACCCAGATTCGATTATTCCCAGTCCGTCTTGTCCGGATTCTCCATCACTTATTAACCTGAGAGATGGGCATCACACAACACCACAAGACCTAAGGGAATGAACAGGAGTTTTTCTTTAGTTATTAGCAGCAACATCTGTGCACGTGCCAGAAACCTATGATTGTGGGTTCGAATCCCGGTTCGCTCCGATTATGTTTCTAGGTTTGTCAGCACCATACCCGTGTTCGTGGGTTTCACCGAAGTGGTAAACGTCTAAGACCTGCATCACTTGGGGCTTTCCTCCCACATTAAGCTGACACGCCGTGACATAACTGGAATAATGTTAACAGCGGCGTTAAACACAACTCACTCACTCACTCAAGCTGATATGCCGTTATATAAACTGGAATTCTGTTCAAAGCGGCACCTCAGTCACTCATTACTCAACCACAGAGTCAATTAATGTCTACAGTCAATTAGACATATACAGATTACAATGGACACATCATAAACATGACATAATATTTGTGTCAGGGATTAATGGGGGTTCAATATTGCACAATTGATCTTTGACATATGATTCGTTAATTCCGATATTTCATAATCCGCACGACGTTAAATCCTGATTAACAGGGTGCCACTTTTTAAGAAATGTTCAAGTAATACTGATTCAACTTACTACTCTGCTCTGACTAAATCAAGGAATTTGTGTTCAGCGTTTCAGATCTTGGTGGAACAGTTTATCGAGGATGCTCTTCAAGATCGGTCTCTGAGTGAGGATTGAGTATGGTTTTACACCGCCAATCTATTCGAAGTCTATGAGATACTATCAGTCACGTGACAGTGAGTGAGAGTGAGTGGCATTCACATGTTGACGAATCATGTTTTCCTCATACGAAATACATTTCTAATACCAGGTCTTATTTTCAAACTAATCGCGAATATGAAGTTTATGAGCTGGCCTCCTGCTCATGAGTGAGTGAGTCAGTGAGTTGAGTTTTCTCGCCGCCTTAAACAGTATTCCAGTTATGTCACGGCGTGACCTGCTCATGACTGAGTTGAGATGGGTCAATAGGAGTATTTGGTGCAAAATGTAGGGTGTTCTTCTAACAATTTAAACTGAAATAGGGGACACATAAAAGATAGTTCTGATTTGGAGGAGATGTAGTAGGCCATTCAACATACGAGTAATGAAGCAACTATCAGGAAATTCAAATAAGAAGTGAGTGATGTTTAATACCAGTAGTCTACAGGAATTAGATAGTTCCTAATTGGAAGTGGATGAATTTGGAGAATAGACTTTCTGTAACAAGAAATAATGTTGCATATAAATACAACTGAAACGTCTATGATATCAGTTAGAATCATGACATGTATCAAGAACAATCGCACAAGTATGAATCTCTGCTTTGAAGGCTGCATGTACACCAAGCACTATACAAGAACGACCAGACCGGTGGGAACGTTCAAGCAGAGTGACACCGTCATGTATAGGTGCCCTCGCGACTGACGTTAACTCTAGTGATGTTGGATCCAAATCCCCCTACCCCTACCATCACGACAGACATGGCCATAGGCCTGTCTCCAACATCGACACTCGGCAAACCAGGACAGGTTCTTGTAGACGCCCTTAAGACACGTGATCAGCAGAAGCGAAGAGAACTCGAGAACAATTCCTTGATTCGATGGCAAAGAAATTAAAAAGACAAAAGTTTAATAAACTTGATCTATTCAGAATCTCAGGAAGTAAGGAACTTTTGAATGAATATGTTGTAATTAAGAATAAATATAGAGAAATGTGTAGACAGAAGAGATTGAAGCATGATGAACATTGTATAAATGATCTGGTCAATAATAGTAAAAGTGGTAAATCCTTCTGGAGACGCATCAACAATATTATTTCTTCACCTTCTGTGACAGGGAACCCAGGTATTACCAATATGCAGTGGACCGAATATTTCCAGCATGTGTTTAATTTAACTGGTATACTTGTGGATGAGGACAATCTAGATGAGGCAGAAACATTTATGAACAATCATGATATAAATGAGTGCAATTACTGTAATGATGATGTTATGACTAATCTCCTTAATGCTGATATAACTGAAGAAGAAGTATCATCAGCTATACATAACTTGAAACTGGGTAAATCGGCTGGACCGGATGGAATTCTACCGGAAATGGTGAAATGTTGTAGTACTTCAATCATATCATACTTAACTATAGTTTTTAATAGGATTATGCAAAGTGGTGTATTCCCTTACGAGTGGGCAAAGGGTATAGTAGTTCCCCTGCATAAGAAAGATAATATAAATGATGTCAATAATTATAGAGGAATAACGCTGATGGATGTATTTGGAAAGTTGACGACAACAATATTAAATGATAGACTCAAGACTTTTGCCGACGTTTATGATACAATCCGTGAATCTCAGGCAGGATTCCGAAGCGGATACAGTACAATTGATAATATATTTACATTACAATGTTTAGCACAAAAATATCTCTCTAAACGTCGGGGTAAATTTTATTGTTTGTTTGTTGATTTCCGTAAAGCATTCGATTCGATTAACCGAAATCTCTTGTGGTATTCATTAATGAAAAATGGAATACATGGTCGTTTATTGGTGGTTTTGAAGGATCTATACTCTAAGATCAAGTGTGCTGTCAGGACATCAAATAACTCTCTTTTAGATTATTTCGAATCACTGAGTGGTGTAAGACAGGGTGGTGTTGAGTCCTTTTCTGTTCACGATGTTTATCCATGAATTACAGTCAATGATAGAAAGTAGTGATATGCGAGGGATTTTTATTGGAGAGGAGTTTATGGACATATTACTTTTACTATATGCAGATGATTTGTGTATTTTTGATGACACAGTAATAGGTCTGCAAAGAAAAATTGATATTTTATCCAATTTTTGTAAAAAGTGGGGACTTGAAATTAACATGTCTAAAACCAAAATTTTGGTTTTCAGAAGAGGTGGTACTTTAAGGTATGATGAACGATGGTTTTTGAATGATAAACGTATAAATGTAAGTACTTACTATAGTTATCTGGGTGTTCTGTTTTCAAATAGATTGTCTTGGACTAAATGCATTGATACTCTCAAGATAAAAGCCAATAAGGCTTTGTTTGCCATTAAACAATTGCAATTTCACTTTGTAAATATGCCAGTTAACATTTTATTTAAATTGTTTGACATTAAGATAAAGCCCATTCTTCTTTATGGTGCTGAGATCTGGGGCTGCAAAGGTAGTCAAATTGTCGAAACTTTTCATACTAAGTTTTGTAAATTTGTTTTAGGAGTTGGTAAATATGTATCAAGTACGGCAATATTAGCTGAATGTGGAAGAAATGGTTTGCATGTGGATTATCATATGAAGTGTGTTAATTACTGGTGTAAACTGATTAGAATGAATGATGAAAGATATCCCCGACAGTGTTATTTGTTAATGAAGAAGCTGGATGAATGTGGTAGAATTACTTGGGCAACTCATGTTAAATATTTACTCGACATATATGGATTTGGTAATGTGTGGTACGAACAGAATATTGGTGATGTTAAGTGTTTCTTGCAGCTATTTAGACAACGTTTGTTGAATTGCAACAAACAGAGTATACAGATGAAAATTTATGAGTCTCGTAAATTAAGGTATTATTCACACGTCAAGATATTATTGGATATGGAATATTATGTTACAGCTTTCAGAAATAGAGACCATAGACGTATGATGTGCCTGTTGCGATTAAGTGAATTGCCTATACGGAGTAATCTGGGCAGAAGAGAGGATATTGATTCTTCACAACGCTTTTGTAGGCTATGTAACAATGGTTGTATTGAGGACGAAGTCCATTTTGTGTTTGTCTGCCCGTTTTACGCAACAATAAGACAAAAGTATATTCCTGTGAGATTCTATAACAATCCATGTATTAAGACTTTTAGTAATCTCTTAAATAGCAAAAATGACTGTATACTCAGAAATGTAGCTAAGTATGTGAAGGAAGCCCTATTATTACGTACCAAGTCCTAATATTATACCCTTAAGATTGTTTGCAATGTAAATTGTCTCAATTGTATAATTGTATATTACTATATATAACTGAAATGTACATGGGCCTATGGCCTCCCATACATGAATAAACACACTTTAAAATTAAAAAGAAGATGTTTGAACAATGTTTGATTAAACACTTGTATACTTTTACTACATAAAACATACATATGGATTAGATAACAACTCAAAGGCTTATTTAAAATATCAAAGTATTTTTCATTATTACCTTATATTAATAAATACCTTGCAATAGTTCTTTTGCGTTAAATCGTGACGTATAAATGAAGTATTGATATATATGTGAGTTCGGCAGGATATGTACGGGGTAGAATGACAATATTAGGCTCATGGAGAAATATGCAGGAAAACAAATCCCATTAAAAACATAATGTGGATTAAAGTAATACATGGTAAGGTATACATGTGTGTAGATGTACAGGAAGACCAGCAACAGACTACGGTTGTCAGTCTTTATTACTTTCTCTTATTGATAGACAGACTGTGGGTGACACTTGGGTGTAGATCTAGCCACGTCATCGGGAGGAATATACCGCTGCTTTAGATTTGTTGTTTATTTCTAAGTTCTGTGAGATGTAATCGTTGACGTGCTCTAATTGTTGTGAAGGGCAATGGCTGACGTGCAAGTAGTTTTAGTGTTTTAGAAAATGCCAGTCAACACCAGACAAGGAACACAACACATGCAGTGACACAACAACACAACCTATCACCCCTTGTACCCGTAATAATCGTGACAAAGATCTAAAAATATCTGTTTAGACTAACGCTTAAAGATGATACTATTAGAGGTGAAACTATACACAATCATAATTCTTACAACCTGAAATGACAACAACCTAAAAACTTGGTACTTCATACCTGCCACACACAGAATACTTGAGTTGACCAAGTGAAAAGTGAACATTCTGTCTTAGGATACCTCAAGTAGGTAGGGGGGATACGAATGTAACAACGGGGATAATAAATTGCAAATCTGGGCCTTGAAATCGTTTGTGTTGTACTAAAGATAGATGCTTGTGGTTGTATTAATACGCGGGTGTGTCCGGATACCACATGGTAACTGACCTAGCAAATGCTGGGAAGATAATAAGGATGTAAAGGCGATCTATATGGGGAACATAATTGATAGTAGTCATGATGAAAAAAGTGACAGACATGAAGAGTAAAGGAAAGAGTGAAATGACATTTCTGATGAGGATAGTCTCCCTCTCATGTAATTATCTTGACGTATGAAGAGCGAGCTACGAAACACCTTTTCGGAAAGCAATGCTGACATATTAACAAAAAGCAAAGGAAGAGGGCATGAGTTGCAGTCCAATAAGTGAGACGGACACAGACATGACGGATATAGAGACAGACCTGTAGACACGGACACAGACATGACGGATATAGGGACAGACCTGAAGACAAGGACACAGACATGACGGATATAGGGACAGACCTGAAGACACGGACACAGACATGACGGATATAGGGACAGACCTGGAGACATGGACACAGACATGACGGATATAGGGACAGGCTTGAAGACACGGATATAGGGACAGACCTGAAGACAAGGACACAGACATGACGAATATAGGGACAGACCTGAAGACAAGGACACAGACATGACGGAAATAGGGACAGACCTGAAGACATGGACACAGACATGACGGATATAGGGACAGACCTGAAGACACGGACACAGACATGACGGATAAAGGGACAGACCTGAAGACATGGATAAAGGGGCAGACCTGGAGACATGGACACAGACATGACGGATATAGGGACAGACCTGAAGAAACGTATATAGAGACAGGCCTGAAGACACGGGCACAGACATGACGGATATAGGGACAGACCTGTAGACACCGACACAGACATGACGGATATAGGGACAGACCTGAAGACAAGGACACAGACATGACGAATATAGGGACAGACCTGAAGACAAGGACACAGACATGACGGAAATAGGGACAGACCTGAAGACATGGACACAGACATGACGGATATAGGGACAGACCTGAAGACACGGACACAGACATGACGGATATAGGGACAGACCTGAAGACACGGACACAGACATGACGGATATAGGGACAGACCTGAAGACATGGATATAGAGACAGACCTGAAGAAACGTATATAGAGACAGACCTGAAGACACGGACACAGACATGACGGATATAGGGACAGACCTGAAGACATGGACACAGACATGACGGATATAGGGACAGACCTGTAGACACGGACACAAACATGACGGATATAGGGAGAGACCTGACGACATGGATATAGGGACAGACCTGAAGACATGGACACGGATATGACGGATATAGGGACAGACCTGAAGACATGGACACAGACATGACAGATATAGGGACAGACCTGAAGACATGGACACAGACATGGCGGATATAGGGACAGACCTGAAGACACGGATATAGGGGCAGACCTGGAGACATGGACATAGACATGACGGATATAGGGACAGACCTGAAGACATGGACACAGACATGGCGGATATAGGGACAGACCTGAAGACATGGACACAGACATGACGGATATAGGGACAGACCTGAAGACATGGACACAGACATGGCGGATATAGGGAGACACCTGTAGACACGGACACAGACATGACGGACATAGGAACAGACCTGGAGACATGGACACAGACATGACGGATATAGGGACAGACCTGAGCACGGACACAGACATGACGGATATAGGGACAGACCTGAAGACATGGACACAGACATGGCGGATATAGGGAGACACCTGTAGACACGGACACAGACATGACGGATATAGGGACAGACCTGGAGACATGGACACAGACATGGCGGAAATAGGGACAGACCTGAAGACACGGACACCGACATGACGGATATAGGGACAGACCTGAAGACATGGATATACGGGCAGACCTGGAGACATGGACACAGACGTGGCGGATATAGGGACAGACCTGAAGACATGGATATAGGGACAGGCTTGAAGACATGGACACAGACATGGCGGATATAGGGACAGACCTGAAGACATGGATATAGGGACAGACCTGAAGACACGGGCACAGACATGACGGATATAGGGACAGACCTGAAGACATGGACACAGACATGGCGGATATAGGGACAGACCTGAAGACATGGACACAGACATGGCGGATATAGGGACAGACCTGAAGACACGACACAGACATGACGGATATAGGGAGAGACTTGAAGACATGGACACAGACGTGACGGATATAGGGAGAGACCTGTAGACACGGATATAGGTACAGCCCTGAAGACACGAATATAGGGACAGGCCTGAATAGGTGGACACAGACATAACGGATATAGGGACATGCCCGAAGACATGGACACAGACATGGCGGATATAGGGACAACCCTGAAGACACGGACACAGACATGACTGATATAGGAACAGGCCTGAAGATATCGATATAGGGACAGACCTGAAGACACGGACACAGACATGACGGATATAGGAACAGACCTGAAGACAAGGACACAGACATGACTGATATAGGAACAGACCTGAAGACAAGGACACAGACATGACGGATATAGGGAGAGACCTGAAGACATGGATATAGGGACAGAACTGAAGACATGGATATAGGGACAGAACTGAAGACACGGACACAGACATGACGGATAAAGTGACAGGCCTGAAGACACAGCTATAGGGACAGACCTGAAGACACGGACATAGACATGACGGATTTAGGGACAGGCCTGAAGATATGGACACAGATATGATGGATATAGGGACAGACCTGAAGACACGGACACAGACATGACGGATATAGGGACAGACTTTAAGACACGGATATAGGGACAGACCTAAAGACACAGACACAGACATGACTGATATAGGAACAGACCTGAAGACAAGGACACAGACATGGCGGATATAGGGAGAGACCTGAAGACATGGACACAGACATGACTGATATAGGGACAGACCTGAAGATAAGGACAAAGACATGGCGGATATAGGGACAGACCTGAAGACATGGAAACAGACATGACGGATATAGGGACAGACCTGAAGACATGGACACAGACATGACGGATATAGGGACAGACCTGAAGACATGGAAACAGACATGACGGATATAGGGACAGACCTGAAGACATGGAAACAGACATGACTGATATAGGGACAGGCTTGAAGACACGGACACAGACATGACGGATATAGGGACAGACCTGAAGACAACGACACAGACATGACGGATATAGGGACAGACCTGAAGACACGGATATAGGGGCAGACCTGAAGAGACGGACAGAGACTTGACGGATATTGGGAAAGACCTGAAGACATGGACACAGACATGGCGGACATAGGGACATGCCTGAAGACATGGACACAGATATGACGGATATAGGGACAGACCTGAAGACATGGACACAGACATGACGGATATAGGAACAGACCTGAAGACAAGGACACAGACATAACGGATATAGGGACATGCCTGAAGACACGGACACAGACATGGCGGATATAGGGACATGCCTGAAGACATGGACACAGACATGACGGATAGAGGGACAGACCTCAAGACATGGAAACAGACATGACGGATATAGAGAGAGACCTGAAGACACGGACACAGACTTGACGGATATAGGGACAGACTTGGAGACACGGATATAGGGGCAGACCTGGAGACATGGACACAGACTTGACGGATATAGGGACAGACCTGGAGACACGGACACAGGCATGACGGATATAGGAACAGACCTGGAGACACGGACACAGACATGACGGATATAGGGACAGGCCGGAAGACACGGATATAGGGGCAGACCTTAAGAGACGGACAGAGACTTGACGGATATAGGGACAGAACTGAAGACATGGACACAGACATGGCGGATATAGGGACATGCCTGAAGACATGGACACAGATATGACGGATATAGGGACAGACCTGTAGACACAGATATAGGTAAAGACCTGAAGACACGAATATAGGGACAGACGTGAAGACATGGACACAGACATGACGGATATAGGGACAGGCCTGAAGACACGGATATAGGGACAGGCTTGAAGACATG